TTGCGCCCCCTCCCGGCCAAATGTCTCCATGGCCATGGCGCGGGGGGGGGAACGGAATTAAAACAAAGGGAGGAAGAGCCTGCTTTGAGGGGGGGAGGCTGGAATGAGAAGGAAAGGCCTCGGACGAAGGCCGCGTTCGTCCTCGTTCGGCCGCTGGCCCGCTCGCCAAGGATTCTGGGAGTCGTAGTTACAAGCCGGCCGTTCTCCGAATGTCCAAGATGGAGATGGGAGGAGCGCCCGCCACTTCCGGCTCCCGAGCGGGGAAAGGTCAGTGAGGGGGCGGCTGGCGGGCAGGGGCCGGGCCCAGGCACGAGGGGGCGCTGTGGGGCTGCTGGGGGGGCAGAAGGAGAGGGAGGGGCGCCAGGAGGGGGGGCGAGGGTTGCAGCTCCCCCCACATTTTGCAACTCCCCCCCTTCCACGACAGTCCTTTTTTCCCCTTGGACTACAACTCCCAGAATCCCCCCAGTCGCTGGCTGGGGGATTCTGGGAGTTGTAGTCCAAGAAAAGAGGACTCTCCTCAGCCTCTGATCAAAACCGTGGAGGTGGGAGGGGGGCCTTTTTCCAACAAGGCAGCTTAGTAGGGTTGGCAGTTACACACACCCCACAACCTCATTTTGGGGGGGAACAAGCCCGCACCCCCTCATTAACCCTACAGAGAATGGCAGGGGATGGGGTCCCCAGGGTGTGATCTCTGGACCGCTGCCGCTGCTGATGGTGGTTCCCCACCCCACCCCAAAAAAAGATGATCCTTGCCGTCTCCTGATGCCGAGGTGTCCCAAAATCTTTGGGGGATACCACCTACCCACCCCCCTTTTTCTCCCCCATTCTGAGAAATCTGTTCCTTCCCACCTCTCTGTTTTAAAACCACCTTTAAGCTGCTTTCTTTAAAAAGGAATGAAAGAATAAAAAAATAAATTCGAATTTGCAATGGCAAATTAAAAGCAAACCCATCCATTTGGATGTGGAAATCTTACCAATGGGTACAAGGACAAGAAAAAATAACGGGGTGGAGGCCCAAATGCGATGTCAGAACACGGCAAACATTAAAAAGAAAGAGCCGTCCCGCCAGCGGTTTTGGCCCTTTGCTGAGGATGCGCAGCCGTGTTTTACACCCGAGGAGGCCAGGGTGCACAGGAGACCAATGGCAAAATCACACACACACACCCAGTTGCTGGTAAAAATCACATAAGCAGCAGGAGTCCAGCCAAATAGTTGTGAGGTGTTTTGGGGAGATGCTAAATTCTGACGATGCAACCAATCACCAAAATGGGCCTGACGCAGGTAAAACCCTTTTCTTGCTTAATGGAAGTTTCTCAGTCTTGTGCTTTCCCCTTCAGAGCTTAGAAATGTGGTTTTTTAAAAACACCTCCCAAATCTCCATCACCAGCGTAGCGAGCGAAATGCTGACATCGGGATTCTTGTCATCGAATCACCTCTGCCACCTTGTGAATTCTCATGCATGCAAAGAGGAGTGGGTCCCCCACAGATCAGAAATTAAAATTGTAATGTAGATGGATACTATAACAATAATAATAATAATAATAATAACAATAATAATAACAATAACAATAACAACAACAACAACAACAACAACAACAACAACAACAACAACAATAACAATAACAATAACAATAATAAAGAATTCAGAGGAGAAACAACACGGAGGAAAAGATTCCCAGTGTTGTAAATTCATAAAGTCCTTACTTGGCCATTGGTGATGCTTAAGATCTTCAGACCACAAAACCAGGAGGCAACACAAGATGTGGCCCACTGTTGTTGCCATTGGGAGGATCAAAATAACAACAATCATGGGCCATAACGTCAGTTCAGACTTATGGCTACCCTTTTTCAGGGTCTCTTAGGTGCAGTTCCCCACTCCCTTCTTCCGGGGGCGCCCTGGGACGACGGTGCAGCTGGCCCAAGGCCCCCCAGGCTGGCTCTTCTCCTAGTTGGGCCAGTGGGGGAATCGAACTCCCCACCGCTGGCTCCACAGCCAGATCCCTAAACCACACAGCTATCCCACCAGCTTATAGACCGGGATATCAGCAAGCCTTTGGTTCGGAGGATGCACATTTTATTATTTTTACTTTTAACAATTTATACCACAAAATGGTGCTTATTTCCAAGTTAAGCTTCAGGGCAGCGGAAGCAAATTTCTGACATTCCCGAGGTCGAGATGAGGCGATGATGTGAAAATGCAAAAGCAATCAAAGGCTCAAAGTCTTTTCGTTCTTTTCTTTCAAATCCAGCTCAGCAAACAAATTTTGCAGCGGTTTTTTTACTGTTGCCGTTATTGCGAAAAAGGGCTGGACAAAGTACGTACCTTGAGATGCAGCTGGACTTTGCCACCACCCCCAGCATCCCTCACCCTCAGCACAGCGTGCTAGGACTCATGGGAGTTGTAGTTCAAGAACCACCAGAAAGCCGTGCTTTGCCCACACCAGGTTTCGTCTGTGGCAAGTTTCTTACAACGAGATCTAAGTGCATATTAATAACACACAACGAAACTCTGGCCTGGATGGGTCCCTGAGCGATGTGAGAAGAAGGGGCTTTGTAAGCTTACCTTTGTAAACTATATTTAGCCAAGATACCCTGGAAAGTCAGAATTGATTTAATGGCAGATGATGATGATGATGATGATGATGATGATGATGATGATGATGATGATGATGATGATGATGATGCATTAAAGAGGATGCCTCCAAGTAGCGAGGAACCCTAGCAGAGCTGAGGAAAGTTATCTTTTTGATTTTTCCACTCCCAAAATCCATGGCCATTGAGATTATGTGAGGTTCAAAATTGGGGAATTAAGTTGAAAGATATTTGTAGCCTGGACAATTTTAATATATATATTAAATGTATATAGGCTGTTTTTCTGTACTCTCTCTTGTTTTATTTATTTATTTATTTATTTATTTATTTATTTATTTATTTATTTATCTATCATCAGCACGAATCCTCTTTTTCCTCAGGCCCCGAGTCAGGATTCATTGAAGTGGAACAGAAGTTCTTTTTCGGGCCTGATACTGCAGAGAAGCTGGTGGCATTAGGGGCAACTTTGGAAGGTAATATTACCTTCCGCGATCAGTACTACGATGTACCAGATTTCCGGCTCACCCTAGCCGACCACTGGCTCCGGCAACGGGAGGGGACCGGCTGGGAACTGAAGTGCCCCCCGCAGCCACAAGAGGGCGCCAGAGTTCCAGGCTCTGCCACTGGCTCGGCCACCAAAAATGAGAAGCCACGTTGTGTGCCACAAGCACCCGCCGGAGACCACGATGACCTTCGCCAACCACTTCCACCACTGCAGCCACTCGAGAGAGCCGGCCGGAGAGAATCTGCCACCAAGTACCTGGAAGTGACCTGTCCCCGTGAGATCGTGGCCCGTGTCTGCGAGCTGATGGGCGTGGACCCAGAGCCGAGTTGGTGGGAAAACGTGGCCGTCGCAACAAAAGAACTCAGCCTGCAGGAGTTTGCCAGTTTTGTGACCCGGCGACGCCAATACCGCCTGGACAACCTGAACGTGGTCCTCGACGAGGCTGATTTTGGCTACGCCGTAGGAGAAGTGGAGGCCATTGTCAGGAAGTGGGAGGAAGTGTCGGAAGCTTTGGAGAACATACAGAAACTGGGATACCAACTGGGTGAGGAGGCAATCAGCTTTGGCCCTTTTTTAAAAAGTTAGTTTTGGTTTTTTTCAGATATTTAGTGGGAATCACCTGGTTTTGAAGGTTTTTATTTTAAGGCCAATCCACAGAATTCCCCATCTCACAATGTGTCTTGAGAAAAAATTTTTTTAAAAAAAGTAACATAGAACAGTTCGAAGTTCAAAATTTTGCTCTGGCATGAATGTTTGCATTTGGTTAACGTTGTGTTTTGGTAGCTGTAAAATTATAACCCATTTCTTTCTCGGCTCCCCTGCCAGGCATTGACATGAGAACACGGTTTCCCGGGAAGATGTCTGCTTACCTGTATAAATTCAGACCAGCACACTACAATCTCCTGATGCAAGCGGGAAGATTAAGGAGTGCGGGGGACGAAACGGATGGACAGGGGGGAAAGGACTCAGCCTAGGGGCTGTGCTTGGGTTCATGGTGGTGGTAAAAAGATCCTGCCTTTAGACTACCTCAATGGTGGCCAATATATGGCCCTCTAGTAGCAAACACACCACCACAGCTGGTTATTTGACCTTCTTCTCCAATCTCCAATCTATTAGCAACACAGAAAAAGGTGAACGGCGTCTCCTGGAAGACTCCAGATTATGTGGTTCATCTCTCAGCTCCCTGCACTGCTGGAACTCCCCAAAATAGCAATTTTTCAAAATTTTAAGTGGACTTTCAGCCACTTCCAGTTTAATTTCTTCCTGGGTTTCTTTACTTCCTGAAGCGGGGCCATTTTGCTTGGTCTTTGTGACCTCCAGCAGGTCCCGAGATTAGAACATTGTCCAATATTGTCCGCCGCCACCCTTGACTGCTTGCTTTCTGCGTCTGTACTGTCGTTAGATGGCAGAAAAGGAATTAAAGTGAATAAAAGAGTAAGAAGAAAGACCACCCTTTCTCTTTATAAGACCTGTTTTTCTCTTCTCGTCTGCTGATCTGGTTTATCAAATCCACCCAGGCCATTTTACTGCCTCCCAGTGTTTCAGAATGGACTCTTTCCCCCCTTTGTAGTTAGACCCCCATGGTGAGCATGGTGTGACATCACAGCAGGTTAGCCAATAGCATGGAAGAACAGAGAGTGGAGCTTGCTGGCAGCAAAACACCCCATTTGCTATGTGACAGGAGAAAATCAAGGGATCAGTGGAAGACGTTTATGCACACTCGTCAGGGTTATACGCGAAGAGCCACAAGGAGGAAATCTGAGAGATGTTGGAGAGAATGGCCAAAAGGACTCACAGATTCCATTGCGGATCTTTGGAACTCATTGCCACCATGTGATGGAACTGCGGCTGCTCGGCTGAAGCACCTTTTGAAGACGAGGTCATAGGAATATAAAGAGATCTGAGCTTATCCGTGGCTCATAAGCAGGAGTGCAACAAGGATAGAACATGGAGCAGCCGAAATTGGAGGTGGAAAGTTCAGAACAAGCTTGTGGAGACTCTTTGCAAGAACTGAGCGAACCCTGTATTTCAGACTGCAAGCTGGCTGGAGAAGCAGAAAAGCTGTCGTCCCAAAGGAGGAACGTTCCCCAACTTGGTCCCCTTTAGCGCTGTAGCTCCCAGAATCAAAGTGGCCATCGCTGGCTCTGTTCTCGGCAGGGTGGATGCAGAGAAGTGTGTAAACTGCGGGATGCTGAGCAGGTCTATTTCAGGCAGCAGGGAGGAGAGAGGTGAGCATCTTGTCCCCTGCCAAAGACCGTCAGAAGCAGCAAAACCCGAATCCGCCAATGAAGAGGGATAGGTTGTGCTTTGGTTGTTTTTTTATTGGAGATTTCTGTCTAACAACCCCCCCCCTTCAACTCTTTATCTTCATTGATTTCCATTTAGTCCCGCTCAGTTGTTGTGGCATTTCCCCGTCTTAGCTGATCAATTGAATTGATTTCCCAGCAGCTGGCAGTGAGAAGGGAGGGAAACCGGCTGACGAAACACGGGATTCCCCCTGTTCTCTTCCGCTCTTCTACCCCTCCCGGCTCCATTTCTCTGGAAATGCTCTGCCTTCTCTACCTGTTCTTTCTGATGGCTGCTTTGAACAAGCTTCTCCTTCCCAAGATCCACCCACTGATGCATACAGCCTTCTTTCCTTTGCAGAGGTGCTAATTAAGAGGGACGTCCCGAGGAGAGAAAGGCACAGCCTGGCGGAGAGCTGCAAGCATCAGTGGTTTAGGTCTCTGGCTGAGGGGCCAGAGGTTGGGAGTTCGATTCCCCCACGGTGCCTCCTGGACTGGGGCTGGACTGGATGATCGCACAGGGTCCCTTCCAGCCCTGCCGTTCTGAAAGTATAATTTTTTTGCCCTTAAGAATGTGGAGATGATGGGGCAGAGCACATCACAGAGGTGGGGAAGGGCTGGGAGAACACCGTAAGCTACTCCCTTGCTGTTCATTTCCAGGCAGCCTCCGGGAAAGAGTTGATTTCCTTGATCTGCTGTACCGAAACCCCGGAAGGTAGAGTGTAGGTGAGCCGTAATCTCATCCGAAGCGGGAGCTGAGATCGAAAAGGAAAAATAAATCGTGCGCTGCCATGTCTTTGCCACACTTACAAACAGGATGTGTCACAAGCCTGAAATGGCGGATTTTACTCGGAAGGCAAGATTCGATATTCTGTTTTTACAAAAGCCAAGGCGCTAGTCCTTAAGGCAGTTATGGGAGTGGGGAACGATGGGTGTGTTACTTTGCATCACCCAGAGGGAGGAATGGACTGGATTTAGCCAGCCAGGAGCAAGGCTGCTGGAAGGAACAGGCTCTTCACGGTTTGACACCGCGTTGGAAGCGAAGAGATTTCCATTTTTGGTCAAGCGCTGAGTTCGAGTCCAAAACCACCCCCCTGCATCCCTCTGTAACCTATCACGCCCTTCCCCCACTTTTGCAGTTCTTACCTTTTTGGGGTTCAACACTCGGATGAGCTGCGTCACCGGAGGGCCACCTTGGCCGAGGACGATGGAGCTGCTGGGGGGCGAGAGGTCCGCCTGGAAGGACTGGGGCAAGAACAACAGAGAAGAGTTTGTTTTACTTTTTTCTATGACCCCTTAAAAATCCAGGGCTGTTTCCCTCCTCCCTTGCCCCAAAAGGGCCTGGGTTTCCTCAAACACTCATCCAATCAGGCTAAAAATAAAAATCGTATTATTTCACACCTCAACGTAAATATATTAAGGGCTGCTGATGAAGTTAGAATCAGGATCAGGTGAGAACCTGAATTAAGTTGGGTACATTAGGACTGCCATATCCACAGTTTCTCTTATCTACTGCCTGCAAATATTAAATACTTTTTTTAAAAACATAGGAATACGTATTTCCAAGTTATATGACTAGAACTGGCCACTAAAGGGAGCCAGAGACTATGATGATAGATAGATAGATAGATAGATAGATAGATAGATAGATAGATAGATAGATAGATAGATAGATAGATAGATAGATAGATAGATAGTGTTTCAATATCCGTGATTTTCAGCATCCATATGAGGGGTTTGGAGCCAGATAATTGCGGTCCTACCATATTATTCATTCCTCTGAATGAAGCTGAGTCACTAACGGCCAGAATATTTCACTTCTGGCTCACCCAATGGCATGTAATACTTTTTGAAACACTACGTTGTTGGGATAATTCTTGTATTAGCTCTATACTCTTCAGACACATAAATTTCCATGTATGGAAGCTGGACAGTAAAGAAAACTGACAGGAAAAATGTTGACTTTTGTTTGAAATGTGGTGCCGAAGGAAAGCTTTGTGGCTGCTCTGAACTGCCAGAAAGACAAATACGAGCAGGCCCTTACATCAAATTGAACCAGAACTAGGTCTGGAGATTAAAAAAATGTTGAAACCAATGCTGTCCTGCTTCGGGCACTTCGTGAGAAGGCAGGATTCTCTGGAAAAGATAATAATGCAGGGAAAGGTGGAAGGCAGCAGGAAAAGAGGATGACCCAATACAAGATGGAGGGACTCCCTCAAGGAAGCCACAAGGTGGAATTTTCAAGAGTTGACCGGGGCTGTTGAGGACAAGACAATCTGGAGATCACTCCTTCATAAGGTTGCCATGAGTCGGAGGCGACTTGCTGACACATAACAGCATTTTTTTCCTTTAAAAGAACCCCAAAACTGTACCAAGCAAGTGGCTGAAATCTGGTGGTGGTGGTGGACACTATTTGCAACAATCTGGTTAAACTGTGACAGGGTGTCTACCTCACAGGCCTAATTGGTGGGAATTCGGCCACAATACAGTGGTGCCTTGCTAGACGATGATAATCCGGTCCACTAAAATCACTGTTTAGCGAAATCATTGTCTAGGGAAAAGCATTGCCCCACGGGAATGCATTGAAACCTGTTAAATGTGTGCCAATGGTGAAGAATCATCGTCTAGCGAAGATTGGCCATAGGAAAGCCGCTTTGCGAGCCGCTGATCAGCTGTTTAAATCCCTGTCTTGCGAAGTTTAGGTCCCGAAAACACCCGTTTTGCGAGCGCGGAGGGAGCTGGCAAAATCGTCGTCTAGTGAAAATCGGTTTGCGAAGCAGGGACCAAACATTGTCCAGCGAAATTCCCCCATAGGAATCACTGTTTTGCGAATCGCTATAGCGATCACAAAAAGTCAATGTCATGCGGGGTAACTGTCTAGCGACGCACCACTGTATGTGTCTCCGGGAGACTCAATCCTTGGTGAGGATGAGGATTGATGTACAGAGCATGAGGACATAGTATTCTGGGAAGGCTGTAGGCCACTGGTGTCATCACCCAGACCTCACCTTGGGAACGGCCACTTGCAGAGAAAACCCAGGAACATCCTGGGGGGTTCGGTTGGATACCGTGGCCCTGATCAACAGCAAGGTGGGTTCCAGCGGGGGGCGTTCCATCGAGAATTCAACAAGCAGCCCATCCCGTTCATAGACGGTCATGCAGGACGAAGCCGTTTCTGTTCAGATGGGAAACAAAGGGGACAAGTGAGCGATTAACTCTATCCAACATATGCAACTGTGCTAAGGCATGTAATTTCTTCAGTTCATTTACTGCTTAAGTGAAACAGTAAAAGGGTGCATCTGAGCATGTGCCAAGTGCCTTGACCACATTATTCAGTAATCTCCAGCAGCCAGCCGGTCCATACACACCAGTCCACACATGGACTGTTTGAGCTTCCAGATCTGAGGTTTCTCCTTTAGAGTAAGCAAACCCTATGAAGCTTAGAGTCTGTCCACGCTGGCACATAGTTATGATGTACAGTGGTGCCTCGCTTTACGATTGCCCCGTTTAACTATGAAACAGCATTACAATGAACTTTTTGCAATCGCTTTTGCGATCGCAAAACGATGTTTCCTATGGGGGAATTTCGCTTTGCGATGATTAGTTCCCTGCTTTGGGAACCGATTCTTCGCAAAACGACGATTTTCCAACAACTGATCGGCAGTTTCAAAATGGCCACCGGGTAAACAAAATGCCCCCCCGCTGTTTTCTGGGAGGGATTCCTCGCTGCACAGGCAGCGAAAATGGCTGCCCTATGGAGGATCTTCGCTGGACGGTGAGTTTACAGCCCTTTGGAATGCATTAAACAGATTTTAATGCGTTTCAATGGGTTTTTTTCTTTTCGCATTATGACGTCGATCTACAGCGATTTCGCTGGAACGAATTAACATCGAAATGCGAGGCACCACTGTACGTTTCCTTGATTGCACTATTTGGCACAGAAAAAGACCTTGTTCGCTTGTGTTTCCACTTAAAATGATCCGTCCTTCCCCTTTAAGAGCTGTCCCGTATCTTTCTGGCATAGGTCCCGTATGGCATGCAATCTTTTTGGCATGATTCATTAAGATGCCAGATATGTAGCTCTTTGCTCTGCCTTCACAGACAGGTATCAAGAGATAAAATAGATGGCACAGAAGATAAGGGCCACTCAGGCACCGGCTGGATTGCACCAAATTTCACCGTGCTGACAAAACCATAGCTTCCTGAAAGAAAGGCAGCCGCCTTTCCTCTGCAGGCTAATTGATGACCTATGAAACTAACAAAGGGCCAGTGATGATTTTCTGCTAAGGGAGCGGGTGCTTCCTACCAGGAAAGAACATTTCCCCTCAATTCTGCAAATGTCAGTAGAAACGTTTTATTAGATTTCGCCATTTCTGCTTTGTTGTGCAACAAAGCTTCCTGGTCCTCCGCTGCCAAATAAAAATCCTAACTCACAAGACATTCAGACAGGGGGAAAGGCTGTGATTTCGCTCAAAGATGTTGCTGAACTAGAATGCCCATCATTAGGCAGGCTCACTGGAGCAGATGGGAACTGGAGCCCAACCACGGCTGCAGGTTGCCGACTTCTTAATCCAGAAAATCAAAATAAAACTTGGCAAAACTTTAGAAGAGCCCCCCTCCTATCACAAAAAAAGGAAGCCTTGAGGGAAACAAAGAGAAGGAAGAAGAAATGGGTATATTTTCGGAGACAATCAGTGGGCAGAACGGAAGGACTGCAGATCATCCTTTCAGTGGCTGAAATCCTGTTGCTGAGCCTAGTAAGTCACCACTAAAGTCAGTCCCTTTGAATCACGGCCACTTACGGAGGAGCAGACTCACCAAATCTCCACTGATTCAATGGATTGCTCGGCCTAATAAGTCACCACTCGAGTCAGTCCCCTTGAATCATGGCCACTTACAGAGGAGCAGACTCCCCAGATTCAATGGGCCTACTCTTGGTTTGACTTACTCCGCTTAAGCAACAGGATTTCAGCCAAAGTGTCTCGGGAGGTACCCATACGATTGGAATAACAACTTGGACAGAGGCCGGACAAGTGACTTGGTTGAACAACAACTCCCAGAATCCCCTGCTGAAGGATTCTGGGATTTGTAGGCTGTCAAAGTAATTTATCCCGGTTAAATTTTGAGATTATGGAAGGAGAGGCTCTCACGGCCTTTTCTCACTGTATCAGACTCGCCGGCATCTCTTGCCTCCCACGTACCTGGGGGTGTTAGGTTGCCAAGCAAATCAAGGAAGGATCCCCCAGCGTTCGGAGCACTGTTGCTGGGCTGGACTGGGGAGGATTCCGTGGGTCCCCCAAGGAGGTCTAAGAGATCAAAGACCTAGGGAGAAACAAGACAGGACTGAAGAAAGCGAAATATCAGACTGCCAAGGAGGCCCAGTGAGGAATCGAATTCCCAAACCACTGAGCTATGCAAATCCCTTTTTGGAAACTAAGAAGAAACTAAAACTCTTCTCTCCAATTCCTCTTCTCTTTCAAGCAGTGGGATCCCAAGGAGGAGAATGGCTACATATAAATACTGTGGGACCCCCGTATCTGCTGAAGATCGGTTCCAAGCCCTCCTCCCAGCAGATGGAGAAAAACATGGATAATAGCGAACGCTATTTGGATAGCCAATACTATTCATAGCATGGTCTCTGGCTCCCTGTAGTGGCCAATTCTGGTAAGTTTGTCTTTAAAACATATATATTTTAGGATTTTTCTTTTAATATTTTTAATATTTTCAGACCGCGGATAAGCGAATCGGGGATATTGACGCCAGTCCTTTAGAGGCGTGGACCCCCCCACCTGGTTGGAAGATTCCGGTGGTTTTTTGGTGTCCCCGGACGGTGCCACCTCCAGGGTAACCCCCTCTCTTCCATTCTGTTCTCTTTCACTCCCTTCCTCGCTGTTACCCGATTTGTCTGCCAAGGGCATCTTTTCCAGAAGAGACGCTCTGTCGGAGGAAAAGGGGGAGCAATGAGTTTCTCCAGGCCTAGCGGAGCTTTTTTAAACCGTCGTTCTCGGTATTTTAAAGATTAAAAATCATAACCCACAAAAGATGTCATACTATAGAAAAACAAATAAGATCACTTTAAAGAATCACATTGCCCGCTTCCCACCTTTTCTCTCCTGCCTTCATGTAACATATATAATAAACCTTGTCTGCCTCAAAATGAAGGAAAGAATAAATATGTAAGAAATAATTAATAAAATAAAATCTATTTTTTTAAAGGTGTGTGTGTGTGGGGGGAGAGGTAAGAAAACTGGTTTAGCGATAAGTGAGATATTCAAGTGGTTTCACCTG